TCCCCTATTCTTCCCGAAGTATCGCTGCCTTCTTTCCACAAAGCTTTACACAAAGACCATGCATTTTGAGTCTCCAGGGGGGCAACCTCCAATGCCTAACTTCCTGTAAGAGGGAGGCTTTCAAGAAATTAAGTGGTCAGTACTCACAAGATGTGGAGGTTTCCTGGAAATCTAGGCTGTGATTCTTGGGGAGGATCGGCGCAGGGCAACTGCAGCCTGGACACAAGGACTCTTGTGGGAGTGTCCTGCAATGCTTTTGAACTATGATGTGTCTCTCTGTACCATACTGGTGTCTTAGTCTCCTTAGCATATAGGAGATATAAGTCATTCATCTTAACCATGTGAAGTTTAGGAGTATTTTTATGCTTGTCCTGACCTGAATTCTTCCTTCAAACCTTACTGTGTAAGCCTCAGTAGGAAAGCTTAAAGGGTGTAATCAGGACCTAAACAGCTGTAGATTAGCGTAAGCCCTTGAAGATGTGCAAATAAAAGGTCATTCCTTCTCTGCAGTAAACAGACTGATAATCAGTGTAAATTAAATTTTAGAAGACAGAAAACTACTCTTCTGAATGTATGCACTCAAGTTAACACTTGACTACCTAGGTTTAAGTCTGTATGTGCAGACATCCTTTTGAGAAGGGAGTGGTGGTTACCTCCTCTGTCTTGGCTTAGAAGTGGATATTCTACATGGAAAAATCGGCAGCTGTCTTTTGCTACAAAAAACAAATTCACCACTTCTCCCCCTTTGCATTTTTATCTACAGAGTGATCTTTTTGCTGAAGCACCAAAAGGAGAAGAATCACAAGAGAAAGAGGAGCGAGTCCCAATAAGTGAAGGTAAGAACCAATTGTTGCCTCCTGCAGTCCTGTCTGTGCTGTGATTTATCGCCACTAGCAGCTAGACTGTTTTGTTTCCAAACTAGAAAGTCTGGAGTCGCAGTTGTTGGCAAGTCTCTTCTCCCCAGTCTTAATAGAGAACAGCTGTGTTTTGCTTGAATTTTAAATGTGTTTGTTCGTTATGATCTCTTACACACACACCTACTCTCCTGGAGCTGAAAGGATGTCCTTACTGATGTTGGCAGAGCTCTCTGCATGCACTGGGTTTCTGCTGCTGAAGAATACTTTGCAGGATCCAGTTGTGGGTTTGAGTGGAGTAAAGATTTCTTCTTGCAGATTAATGCACGTCTGAGTTTCCCTTCAGCTGTGTATCTAGACCCTTAAGGAGTCTGAGCACACGTTCTGTACTGCAGCAGCTTTTACTGAAGCATTGTATTTGATGAATTTTCAGATATGGGTTGGGAGGCTACGCCATTTTGTTTTAAGTGTGTTATATTGAAGTGGTTTTGAGTGTGTGAATGTGAACTCTTGTAAATAATGCTATGTGTAAATGTATATCATGTTTATTAGCTTCAGTTTAGTAGAGCTGTTTTGTGGAGTTTTAATGGAGCAAAAATAGCTAGACTGTTACATGTTTAAAAAAAACAGAAGTTCAAGGAGAATGTCTAAAGAGTTCTGAGCTGTTGAGGAAAAAAAAATGGAGCTCAGAAGACTTCTCAGATTCCTATTTCTATGGTAGAGTTCTGAAGACTTTGACAGCATAAAACAAGTGCATCCATTTGTATTGTACTTCCTATGATTTCAGCATCCTCTACAAAGTCCTTAAAGAAAGTTCCTGCAGGTGCAGTATCTCTGTTCCCAGGTATGATTCATTCAATAGCAAATTGCTTCATACACAAAATGTTCTTTTCTTTAAAACCTGCTGGGGAGGTTTTAAAGAAGAAAGCTATCCAAATACAGCAGCACTGCATTGCTTGATCATGTGCCTAATGACAAATACAGGTGCTTCTACCATGCTAAGCCTAAAATGCAGCATGCTTTATGGATAATCAAGGCTCTGTAGGAGCTCTGAAGGTAGATATCATTAATGGCAGATCTTAGCAGCTGTCAGCTTCCAGTGTTGTGCTATGCACTTTCAAGGATGTGTGTTACTTTAACTGATATTATACAGTTTAAGTCTGCAGTGCATGCAGTCACATTTTCCCTCTATACTCTGAGAAGGAAATGCATTTTGATCTTGCAGATTTGATCATGTTCCTTTAGGTTAGCAGAACAGTTTAAACATCAAGTTCCTATATTTTTGTGGCACAGGTGAATAAGACCAATCTTGTTCTCTGTTTTTGATTAGGAGGATCTGCATACACGGGGAAGGACTAGATCTGTAACTCGGAGCTAGAAAAAAAAAGAATTGTACTAAGATCCCTGTTCCATATCAGACTTCAAGCTGAGCAATGAAAAGAAACATATGTCACCAGTCTCTTTGAATCAACTGATTTTGATTTCTGTCTCTGAATAGGGTTTTCACCTGACTGAGTTACCTTAATTTTAAGGTCTGCCCTTTATTAAGAAAGGCCTATTCTAAGACTGTGGCTTCAGTTAACTGAGCCCTCAGTCAGCATGATTTTTAGAGTAGGATGTATACAAATACAGCCTTTTTACTCCAAGATCAAAGATACACATCAGCAATGGTCACTCTACATAATTATAAGACTTGGTAGCAAAGTTTAAAACAGCAGATTGAGGTTTTCTTTATCCTTCACTCTTTCTTGGAGGTACTGTTGCGTAAGCAGTGAACTTCCCATCATTCTAATAGTGTCCTGTTCTAGTGCATCAGGAATTAAGTTATATGTAGCATTTATTCAGTCTGCAGTTGCTCCATCTCAGTAACTTGTAGACAGGCTAAAGACACCAGAGAAAAACCAAGATTGAGACTCCTTTGCTATTCAAAATCGCTCGATGAACACATTCCCAATGAACAGTTTGTTTAGGAACTTGAGAATGTTTAATTAATCAAACTTTGTGGCTGTATTCTTGTCAATCCTGTGGCACTTTCTAATGGTGTGATACACTTTTTTTTTTTATACTAAACTGCTGCTGTGCTGGTCAAAATTCATGCAGTCATCTGACTTTTAACCAAATAGCAGTTTTTCTACTTTCTGCCAACCTTTCAATTAACAAAAAGACAGGCTTAGAAGCAGGCTGCCTATTATTACCAAAAATGCTAAAACTGTTTGCAGACAGTCTATCAACATGCACGTACCCCTGAAGCAGGACACTTCTGCACCAGATGCAGAAGAAACAGTTGTTACCAGCTTATTCTAGTTGATCACTGCCATATCTGAAGTACGCAGGAATCTCGGGACCAAACTCAGCCTCATGCTGCAGCACTGCTAGTGGTCCCACATGAGAAGTGCAGCTTCTTGGGAGAACTCAGTCACCTGTCCTCCCCTCTCCTCAAGCACCTACTTTTATTTGTCCACAGTGGTGTGCCTTACTAGTTAGTAAAGTAGGATTCTGGTTTGGGAAGTCCATAGGGATGACAGTGTGGGACTGCTGGGTCTCTAGCTTTAACACGGAACCTGGCTGCTGTTCCTAGAGGAGATGAGCAGGTTTGAGGAAGAAGTGAATGTAGTGAGAGTGAGGGGCCATCTGTCTGTGACTTGGCTTTATCAGGAAGTTTCTAGCTAATGCTTTTGATGCGGCATTGTTGCAGGAGCGCGTTAAAAGTTGCTGTGATGGAAACTCTGCCTGGCTCCACTTACTATGGCACAAGTTCAGCTTTTCGCTAACTCTGGCAATGATCTCTGTGTGGTGTTTCCCCCCGCCCCCCAATCTGACCTGCAGGAGGAAGTGATGTGTTTAGTTCCACTGTAATTGTGGAAAAAGACAAGAAACCTGCAGCACAGAGCACAGAGAAAACTCCTAAACAACCTGGGAAAGTTGTTCTGTTTGATGATGACGATGATGACTTCTTCGTGGGATCAAGTAAAAAGCCTCCAGATTCAGGTACCTCTATACATGTGCAGTGGAAGATTAAACATTAAAGGTCATCAAAATTCAAACTGATAGGTACCAATGAGTTACAAAATTCAAACCTGCATTACTCTTAATTCTGCTTGGGTTTTTTGGGTTTGCTTTTTCTTTTTTGTTATTGGCATTTCTTTTCCTCAGTGGTGTGAGACTTGTTTATTTGTACATGTTCTCCACTGATTTTCCTTTCTTAGGATGCCTCTTCTACTGCTAGGGCAGTATCTAGACTTGAATCAGGGAAATGGTACAGACTATTCACACAGCCTTGAGTCCCTGTGCCCAACAACTCCCTATTGGCAGGCTCTAGGCCTTTAGAGGTGCCAAGCCAATACAAAACACTGCCTTTAGAGGTGTCAACTGACTCTACCCCAATGCTTGTTGACCGCATTCTCTGTCACCAGTGCTCTCGGGTAAGTGGTGTTTCACTTTGAGAGCTTGTCTAGCTTTTTCTGTTAAAGACTCCTGATGTTGGTCATCTTTAAAAAGGGAGCATGGTATCTTTTGAGACTCTGGTATCTTTTCTTGTTCAGTAGTGGTTGTTCTGTTCTCGTCATTCCCTGTTTGTTTTGTCTCTTAATGCAGTCAAGTCCACAGGTGACCTGTTTGATGATGATGAAGAAGGTGACTTATTCAAGGAAAAACCTGCCATTCCTCCTGTGGTTGCTGGCACAACTAAAGAAACAGAAAGCTGTAGGGAGACAGTCGTGGAAAAAAAGGTAATGGCATATAAATGGATCATATGGCTAAGGGTTTAGGAAAAAGTTACTACTGCAGCTGAAGTAATCTTTCCACATACACCACTATGGACATGCCATATTTGTGAAACAGAACTAGGTTCATAGGGTCTTCCATGACCTGAGTGCTTCAGGGGTCCTTAAATGCCTTTTGCCTCTCAAACTTTGGGTTTATTTGAGGGCTTTTTTTGTGTGGACAGTGATTGGAACGATTTTTTTAAGGTAGGATTGAAATGAGAGCAAAATGAGAAGCCTCTGATAATAAAAAATGTTTATGAAGTTCATGGCTGAAATAAAACCAGCCTGACTTAACCTTTGCTGTCACAGTTCTGTGCTGCAGAGACTGTGTTTGCACTTATACCAACCGCTGATAGCAACTTAACTGGTAACCCATTGCTTGTATATATTGTGGGAGAGGAAGGTGGATGTGACAGTTCTACCTAAGCATATACAATACTTGGAGTGTTTAAAAAGCTGATTTTCAGATGAAAACTCTTAAATTGTAGAAAGCTCTAAATGCTGTCCCGAGAACACACGTACAGAGTTATGAGAGCCTCCTAATGCAGACTCCACTTTCATTTTCAGAGCAGTGTCTTGAGGAAAGTAGTAATGTTTGTTTCTATGGCAGAGTTTGTATATATTCATTTTATACATATTCGCTGTTCAAGGAGTATTTGAACATAATGAGCTACAGTGACTCTTTTCCCCTCTGGACTGAGAAGCGTACAGTGCTGGGGATGTCTGATGCAAATTGCTGTAGGACTTTCTCCATATTGCCTTATGAGAAGCACCTGAGCACAAGGGCCAAAGCCACCTTCTATTTCTGGTGCAGTGCAAGAGTATCCATGGTCAGTGGAGCGGGACTGGTGGTGGGAGGTCATCCAATGCCATTGTTCTCATCTCATAGCATTTGGCTTTTCTGGAGGAGAG